CAATACGAGCATATAAGAAGGTTCAGAAGGTGGAGTTAGATCAGCCTTTGAAGCACTATGGGCAGGTAAATTTGGTTGAGTACGCACTCTCGGTGGAGGATGATGAGCCGGTCACCTTCAAAGAAGTTATTCGGGACATAGTGAGAGTTGGTTGTCTGTGATGGAAGAAGAGATGGAACCTCTTCTGAAGAACCAAACATGGGAGGTAGTCCCATTGCCCGTAGGGAGGAAAACTATAGGTTGTAAGTGGGTGTACAAGAGAAAGGAGGATCCTTTTGGGCTCGACGATACAAGGTATAAGGCTAGACTAGTGGCTAAGGGATTTTCACAAAGAGAGGGTGTGGATTACAATAAGATCTTTCTCCGGTGGTGAAACACACTTCTATTCGGGTGCTATTGAGTATTGTTGCTCATGGTGATCTTAAGCGAGTGATGATGAGCTTGAACAGGAGGAGGTTTAACAGGAAAATGTACATGCACTATATTAACAGCAGCCCGAAGGCAATTTGGCTTCCACTAGGCCAATACGAGCATATAAGAAGGTTCAGAAGGTGGAGTTAGATCAGCCTTTGAAGCACTATGGGCAGGTAAATTTGGTTGAGTACGCACTCTCGGTGGAGGATGATGAGCCGGTCACCTTCAAAGAAGTTATTCGGGACATAGTGAGAGTTGGTTGTCTGTGATGGAAGAAGAGATGGAACCTCTTCTGAAGAACCAAACATGGGAGGTAGTCCCATTGCCCGTAGGGAGGAAAACTATAGGTTGTAAGTGGGTGTACAAGAGAAAGGAGGATCCTTTTGGGCTCGACGATACAAGGTATAAGGCTAGACTAGTGGCTAAGGGATTTTCACAAAGAGAGGGTGTGGATTACAATAAGATCTTTCTCCGGTGGTGAAACACACTTCTATTCGGGTGCTATTGAGTATTGTTGCTCATGGTGATCTTAAGCTAGAACAACTCGATGTCAAAACGATCTTCTTGCATGGAGACTTGGAGGAGGAAATCTATATACATCAGCCTGAGGGTTACAAGGTTGAGGATAAGGAGCATTATTTATGTCGCTTGATGAAATCACTTTATGGATTGAAACAATCTCCTCAATAATGGTACAAGCAATTTGACTCATTCATGCTAAAACATGGGTTTTCCAGAAGCGATTATGACTATTATGTTTATATTCCGAAGCTTCTTGGAGGTGATTATATCTATCTTCTTTTAGATGTGGATGACATGCTTATTGCTTCGAGAAATAAGGTGGAGATAGATATGTTAAAATCTTAACTTGGTAAAGAGTTTGAGATGAAGAACATGGGCGTTGCTAAAGAAAATACTAGGTATGGAGATTAGAAGGGAGCGGGCAAATTGCGATTGTTCTTGAGTCAGAAGGGCTACATTGAGCGTTTTATCACAAGATTTGGAATACAAAGTTCTAAGTCAATGGTGACTTAATTGGCTCCACATTTCAGGCTCTTAGGTAAACAATCTCCCACTACAGTAGAAAAAAGGCACACATGGAGCGTGTACCTTATGCTAGTGTAGTTGGCAGTTTGATGTATGTAATAGAGTGTACACGTCCAGATATTTTATAGGTCGTCAGTATTGTCAGTAGGTTCATGGCGAATCTGAGAAAAGCACATTAGGAAGCAGTGAAATGGGTCCTGAGGTACTTGAAGGGTACCGCTAATATAGTTTGTGTTTTGGTGGAGATACGTGTCAGATTGATGGGTTTGTAGACTCAGATTTTACGGGCGATCTATACAGATGTTGATCTACTACTGGTTATATGTTCAGAATATATGGTGCTCCAGTTAGTTTGCAATCGATGTTACAGGCTACAGTGCCACTTTCTACTACAGAGGTTGAGTACATAGCTATGGCAGGGGGAGTGAAGGAAGCATTGTGGTTGTTGGGTCTTCTAGATTATTTGGGGATTGAGCAGGAGTATATGAACTTGTGATGCGATAGCCAGAGTGTGATTTATTTGGCTAAGAATCAAGTTCATCATGCTCGTACCGCGCATATCAATGTCAAGTATCATTTTGTACGGGATGTCATAGAGAAAGATGATATTTCTCTCATGAATGTGCACACAAATGAGAATCCCGTGGACACGTTGACCAGGTGGTGACAAGTAGCAAGTTTCAGCATTGCTTGGACTTTATATTAGCCTGTGTTGATCTACCCAAGAGGGCATGGCCCATCGGGGCGGTGATAGGGTGAGGTGGAAACTATATGGATAATAAATTTTTTAGAACTACAGTTAGCTTAATCTCTATTAGATGTACGTAGATAGTCATGGTATAATGGTGCAGCTGGTTTTGGCCTGGTTTGGTGTTTTAGATCTCTCTTGTGTTGCTTGCAGCGTTCTTATGGTGTTCGTCTAAAATTTAAGGTTTATCAAATAATGTACGAGGTGGAGAATTGTGAATAGTGACGTGAGGACACCGCGAGACACCAAAGGGTGTCTCGTCGGTGTGCGAGAATCCCTGAGGTGTCTCGGCACCCGAGACACCTTAGAGTGTCTCGGAGCGGGTTTTCCAGATCAGTGGGAATCTTTTCCAGATCGTTTTTTGGGCCCTGGTTTCTTGGAATAGGAACCTCGTTATAGTGTTTCAAATAGGGGGTTTGCCGGCTGCAGTAGAGAGTTTTAATAGAGTTTTTTCAGATCTAAAAGGTATGATCTTGAGGAGAATAAAGAGAGAGAACTTGGAATGATTGTAGAAGAAAGAGGTCATCTTCTCTTGGGTAAAATCATAGCCTCATCTCTTTAGGATGAGCTTGCTGGTTGTGCGAGTCGTTGGTGTTCTCCATCATAGTGGAATCTTCCTTCACCCCCTCCCATGGGTATAGAAAAGTTTACCGAACCACGTAAATCTCCTGTCTTCTTTATTGTTTTCTATGTATTTACCATTGCTTGTCGTTCCCTCGATATTTAGATCTAGATCTGATATCGGGAAGAGTGTATATCTTACCTCGCTGAGATATTCACTTTTGATCTTATTTCATATTGAAACAAGAACATCGAGGTTGGCTTGAGTTTTGTGAAAAATAAAATCCAGCGCTTTCTCTCGATGTGATTCACTTCCGCGGCGAGTGGGCATGACGGCCCCCTAACAGTATGTGAGGTTGAGAGATTGAGAGACGAGAGTTGAGTGGTTCCTCTTGTAGCTCTCCCTGATACATAATAGATTTCTCGTATTGTTGCTCGTGGACGTAAGTCGAAGTTGGTCGACCGAACTACGTAAATCTCGGTGTTCTTTGTTCTTGATTGTGGTTATTTTTTATCTTGTTAATTGTGGGTTGGCTTCTAAGTTGTGCAAATTGTAGTAGGCGGGGAGACTAGAATTTCCAACATAATTTGCAACAAGATATCAGGCAAAATTAGAACAATTCGAGGATGAAAAGAAATTTTTTTTCGCCGTTTGAAAGGAACTGAGGATTAAATAAAATTTTGATAGTGGTAAATTTTCATAAATTTTCTATGTATATAGATTTTTCAGTTATTTGACGTGGTTGGAAACACTAATTTTAATCTTGAAGACTCTTCAATGTGTTCTTTTTCTCCTTGAGTTTATTTTTATGGAAGTTCAATAAACAAATTCATTGATGATGAGT